AGGGACGTCAGTACGAAATAATGTACTGAGTATGTTACGCAATATACTGAAAGCTGAAACTGAACTGATAATATAATAACTGCAAGTAGCAGGAAGTCAAAGATAATCTGAAGATATGCTTACCTGCTGATACTGACTCAATTCTCTTACTATAGTAAGTAAAATAGTTGCCCGGCCCTATAAGGCTCGGTACTTATATATATATATAACTGCTCTGCCATAGTAGGCTCGCTCATAAGCTCTCGGCCATACTAGGCTCTGTATCGCGGTCAACCAGGCTCGCTCATAAGCGCTCGGCCACAGTAGGCTCAGTATATATATAACTGCTCTGCCGTAGTAGGCTCTCTCATAAGCGCTCACCCATACTAGGCTCTGTATCTCGACGAACTGGGCTCGCTCATACGTGTTTGGCCACAGTAGGCTCGGTATATAACTTACCATCTAATCAGAGGTTTCCTAATAGGGGCCTGCCCATCGATTATAGCTCGATGGTAATGAAAATACTTTTAATACTGTATAAATAAACTTCTCTTCTCTCTTGAATGGAAGAAGGAAACACTCGACTGAATATGAAGTCCCGATAAAGAGAATATTATAACTTACAACACTAGGAAAATATACGTAATTTGCGAGACTAGCAAAATATAAATAAATTCCGGAATATGAATGTAATGACGAGATAATGCCAAATAAAATAAGAGCTTAGCCTTAACATACCTGGGGGTAGGGAATAGTCTGTATAATACTCTTGGAGAAGATTGCACCGTAGTCCCTTAGAATCGCAAAATCCCATTGCTATTTACGTAGCCTCGTACGATTTCTTTTTGTGGCAAAATCACGTTTTTTTGAATGAACTACATCAGTGCTTTGAGCACAACGCTCTAGTTTGACCTTGATCAGGCCCATATTCAGAAAATCATCTTTGTACTGCTTTAGTCTTAGCTCCATATGGTTTGGCACTATAGAAAATACATGCGCTTGTGCCAAGATTATTACAATAATTTAAACTTAGTTAACTTAGTTGACAAGAGGTGTTGGATCAATTGGGGAGAATTGAGATGTTTGAATCCCAAGCGTAAATCTATAAATTGAGTCACACTAGGTAACTGAAGAACTACTGAAGCTTTCCTTTCAATTTGATTCAAATAATGTGTTGTTTGAACTGATGCGTTCAATTTCCAAGTATTGTATACCTTTGCCAAATAATGAAATGAATTGATGAGTCATTCTTTTAATATGTGGCATGCTTCCACGTTACTCTTTGGGATAATCGATTAAATTTATCCACTTATTAGTTAACCGGGTAATATTTCGTTACCAAGTAATTAATCTATTACCCGCATAATTGAGAATTATTCCCACTTACTTAAAATACTATTTTCACATACATTATACACCTTACTATCATGGTCATGTGGTACCTCGTATGGCACTAGTCTATAAATACCGAGTATTTTATCTCGGGCCGTATTTTATCCCAACATGCCAAACTTGGACGAAAATTCATTTTCTTTGACTTGCTTCCCCTCTCACCTTCACAAATTTACTTATCACTTGTTTGAAATAGCATAATACTTAAAATCTCAAAATAATCTCATCCCCGAACTTACGTCGATTAACTTACGACGAAACTTTAACATACGAAAATGCGGGATGTAACAAATAATTAATAATATTAAAATTATTAATATTCCCATAATTACATATCCAACTATTTATAAATTGGGAAGTAACTCAAAATCAATACAAAGGATTTAAATCCGTACTAGTAGTATAATATAAAGAAAAAATATTAATTATATATTTAGCGAGTGTTTAAACTTCTATAGATTTGAGGAGTGTTACAATCTTCCCTCCTTAAAAACATTCGCTCTCGAATGTTGCTAGGGCCTTATTCTTAAGCTAATAATCATTTTCTTAAATCCTTGAACTTCTTAGGTTTTCTTAGCACTACCCACTCTTCTAAGGGACTCAAAACTTTGGCTAACTCCCTAAATTTTTAAAAATTTCGGCAGAGTTTCTTTGTAAATTGACTACCCAAAAAAATATCCCTGTCACATATACTACAACTATACCAACATCAATCAAATATACCATAACAGGCCATTCATAGGCACCATACACAGCTCATATATTAATTACTCACACTCCGGCAAGGAGGTATTACAATAACTAACAAGAATCTAAAGCACAACAACTTTAGCACAAGTAAATCACTTTAATGAATTAAATATACTAAGACATAAACTAAATTATTACAACAACTAAGTATAATCTAGGAAGGACAGAAACACTTGCTAACTTGTATTTAATAAATGAAATATAAATGTAAAACCATACTTAGGTTCACATACCTTTTTTCTCAAATAAATATGGATATTTCTTTCTCATATCTTCCTCGACCTCCCACGTAGCCTCTTTTGAATCATGATTACTCCACAAAACTTTTATCGATGCTAAATCTTTTGTTCTCAATTTTCTTACTTGTCTATCGAGAATTTCTATAGGTACCTCTTCATAAGTCAATCCTTCTTTAATTTCTATGGTATCAGCAGGTATTATATGTGACTCATCATGAATGTACTTTCTAAGCGTAGACACATGAAAGACAGGATGAACAGAGGACAACTCAACGGGTAGCGCTAGCTTATAAGCCATGTGTCCTTACTTTTCTAGAATTTCATAAGGTCCGATAAATCTAGGGCTAGGTTTCCCTTTCTTACCAAATCTCATAACTCCTTTCATTGGTGAAACTTTCAAAAACACTTTATCACCAACCATGAACTCTAACTCACGATGCCTCTTGCCAGAATAAGACTTTTGATGACTCTGAGCCGCTTTAAGTCTTTCTCTAATTAGCTTAACTTTCTCCAAGGCCTCACAAACAAACTTTGGACCAATCAACGGCACCTCTGCTGGTTCAAACCTACCCACTGGAGACCTACATCTCCGCCCATACAATGCTTCATAAGGAGCCATACCAATGCTGGCCTGATAGCTATTATTGTAAACAAATTCTATAAGTGGAAAGTGATCATCCCAATTACCTCTAAAATCTATAACACATGCACGTAGCATATCTTTGAGAGTCTGAATGGTCTTTTCTTCCTGGCCATCGGTTTGTGGATGGAAAGAGGTGCTTAAATTTACCTTGGTACCTAATATTTTCTGAAATGCCTTGCCAAAAATGCGATGTGAACTGAGGGTCCTGTCTGATATGATTGAAACTGGAGTACCATGAAATCGGACTATTTCTTTGATGTACAATTGCGCATACTGCTCTGCGGAATCTATCGTCTTTACTGGTAGGAAATGTGCAGACTTTGTCGATAGGTCTACAATAACCCAAATTGAACCATGCTTACGGTACGTGCAAGGTAGACCTACTATTAAATCCATATTAATCATCTTCCACTTCCACTGTGGTATCTCTATATCTTGAGCTAGGCCACCAGGCCTCTGATGCTCGGCTTTGACTTGCTAAAAATTCAAACATTTAGCCACATGATTTGATACTTGTTTCTTCATGCCTTTCCACCAATAAAACTCTTTTAAATATAGATACATTTTGGTAGCACCTGGGTGGATAGAGTACCTCAAACTGTGAGCTTCCTCCATTATGGCCTTCCTAAGACCATCTACATCAGGCACACATAACCAATCATTCAACTTCAAAATTCCATCACTTTCTAGAGTGAAAGCAGTGACTTGTTTGTTTCTCACTCCTTCTTTTAACTTCACTAAGTACGGATCTTCGTCTTACTTAGCCTTAACATGCGCAACAAGGGAGGATTGCGCTAAGGCATAATCAGTATACTTCCTTCTTCGATCTCATCCAATCTAATTCCATCATTTGCTAGTTTTTGAATTTCTCGACCTAAAGTTTGCCTTGGTACTGCAAGATGGGCTAAGACATCCATTGACTTCCTACTAAGTGCATCTGCTACCACGTTAGCTTTGCCCGGGTGATAAAGGATATTGATGTCATAATCCTTCAATAGCTCGAGCCACCTTCTCTGTCTCAAATTTAATTCTTTTTGCTTGAAAATGTACTGGAGGCTTTTGTGATCTGTAAACACTTCAAAATGCTCGCCATAAAGGTAGTGTCGCCATATCTCTAATGCAAACACCACTGCTGCAAGCTCCAAGTCGTGTGTGGGGTAGTACTTTTCATGATTCTTTAACTGCCTGGAAGCATAAGCAATAACTTTTTCATTTTGCATAAGAACACAACCAAGGCCCACTTTGGAGGCATCATAATACACTATGAACCCACCTAAACCTGTCGGCAAGGTTAACACAGGTGCAGTGGTCAGCCTCTTCTTTAACTCTTGAAAACTCTGCTCACAAGTGTCTGACCATTGGAACTTAATTGCTTTCTGAGTCAACTTAGTTAATGGAGCTGCAAGTGAGGAAAACCCCTCTACAAACCTTCTATAGTAGCAAACTAACCCCAAGAAAATCCTGATTTCAGTTGGCGTTGTCGGCCTAGGCCAGTTCTTGACTGCTTCTGTCTTCTGAAGGTCTACTTTTATTGGTTCACTAGATACCACGTGGCCTAATAATGCCACTGACTGCAACCAGAACTCACATTTTGAAAACTTGGCATAAAGCTCATTCTCCTTCAAGGTCTGCAAGGCTATTCTGAGGTGTTCTGCATGATCTTCCTTGCTTTTAGAGTACACCAAAATATCATCTATAAACACAATAATAAAGGTATCTAGGAATGGCTTGAAACTCTATTCATGAGGTTCATGAATGCAGCTGGAGCATTTGTCAACCCGAAGGACGTCACTAGAAATTCATAGTGCCCGTAGCGAGTTCGAAAGATTGTTTTAGATATATCTTCTTCCCTGATTCTCAACTGATGGTACCCCGACCTCAAGTTTATTTTTGAAAAGTAATTTGCACCCTGAAGTTGATCAAATAAATCATCAATTCTTGGCAGTGGGTATTTGTTCTTAATGGTAACTTTATTCAACTGTCGATAGTCGACGCACATTCTATGAGACCCATCTTTCTTCTTGACAAATAGGACCGAGGCACCCCACGGTGAAACACTCGGCCTGATGAAGCCCTTGTCAAGGAGATCTTTCAACTGTTCTCTCAGCTCATTAAGTTCTGTTGGAGCCATCCTATAAGGAGGTATAGATATGGGCTGAGTGCCTAGCATGAGATCAATGCCAAAGCCTATGATTCTTTCAGGAGGAAATCCGAAAAGGTCATCTGGGAAAACTTCTAGAAATTCTCTAACAATTGGCACAGACTGAAGAGCTGGTGGATTTAATTCTGGATTAATGATGTGAGCCAAATAGGCGAGACACCCCTTACCGATCATTCGTTGTGCCTTAAGGTAAGAAATAAACTTACCTACAAGCGATGCTGAACTACCCTTCCACTCTAAGACTTCTTCATTTGGAAATTGGAACCTGACTATCTTGGCATAACAATCTAACATGTCATAGCAGGAAGATAACCAATCCCTACCCATGATCATATCGAAATCCACCATTTCTAACTCTATGAGATCGGCTTTGGTGTTGCGACCTTGGACTGAAACTATACAACCTCTATAAACTCTTGTGACTTTCACTGACTCACCAATTGGAGTAGATACTAGGAATGGCTCACTAAGTTGTTCAGGTTCTAGCCCGAGGTTAATTGCAAAGTATGGAGTCACGTATGAAAATGTTGAACCTGGATCCATTTTGGCATAAGCATTATGTGAGCAAAATAAAAGTATACCTGTAATAACTTCTGCAGATGCCTATGCACTCTGACGATCAAGTGTAGCAAACAAACGGGGTTGTCCCCCTCCTTGAGTAACTCGATCTACACCTATGCATGTACCATGTCCGGTCTGATTATGAGAACCACGAGCCTGAGGTGGTGCAACTGTAGTAGCTGAGGAACTAGAAGGACGAGTTGATCCACCACTGAAATTACGTCGCAACTTTGGGCAGTTGGCCTTTATATGACCAATGTCTTTGCAATGATAGCAACCATGAAACCCGAGCTTGCACTAACCTGAATGTTGCCACTTACATGTTCCAAAAAGACCTTGTTAATGTGAATGTTACTCAGCATGAATCTGGCTATGTGAGGATGATGTCTTAAAATTCTGATTCTAGCAAGATTGATATCCATACGTCTGAGTACGTCTGAAGGAAGACCCACCACCTGACTGATGACTAGACTGAGCTGGTGCTAATGACTCCTTATTAGAGGAATCCCTTCCACCTCCACTGGAAGCACCAATAAACATGCCCGCTGTTCGGGCTTTCTTGTTATGTTTTTTTCTTCTCTCCTTTGTCGTTTGTCTTTTTCTAAGTGCTTGGAAAATCCCACAACAGAGGAGAAGGTTGTCATCTCTACTGCTGCAGCCAATTTCGTATCCTTAATATAGTAAGCTAAACCACCAACAACCCTGTGAATCTTTGCTTTTTCTGTCTTAACCATGTGAGGAGCATGCTTATCCAACCTTATGAATTCCATGTAGTACTCTTGCACACTTTTATTCCCTTGCTTGAGTTGTTCGAACTATGTAGCCTTAGCTTCCCTATCCTCTTCTAGGATAAAGTTAGCCATAAAGGCCTCTTCAAATTCTTCCCAAGTAGGCAGACCATCATTTTTATCTCTTTCCTTCTCCTACATCTCAAACCAAGCGCCAGCCACATCTCTAAGCTGGTAAGCAGCCAGCTCCACAGCTTCATCATCAAATGCTTTCATCACTCGGAGGGCTTTCTTGACACCCTCCAGCCATAACATTGGATCTTCATCAACTATAGAACCATGGAACACTGGAGGACTCAACTTCAAAAGATCATTCACTCTTGAGGACTTAAAATTGTTCTATTTATTTGATTGAGGTGGAATCTCATCTCTTCTCTCGTTTTGGTTGGCCATAAAGGCTTTAAACATCTCCATAGCACTGTTAACAGCATTAAACATCTGACCCACCTCGGGAGATATAGTTGCCTTAGCCGGAGCTATTGTTGGGGGAGGTATTGGATCCTGAGGTACTGGATCATTATCCTTTATCCCTTCTTCATGTTCAACCGGGTGTACTTGAACCCCCTTTGTGGATTTACCCTTCCTTTTCTAAGTTGAAGCCTTTTTAGTTCTGCCTTGAGCCTCAATAGTAGCAATAGTTTCTTGAGCAGCATCCTGAGTGTCGGTGTCAGAGTTGTGAGTACGAGCCATTTCTGCGAGTTTTGGAGAAACGAATATATTAGATAATTTCTTAGAGGTAGGATCTATTGCACGATCTAAAGTATAAGAAAAATGAGATTTTTCCTAAATGTTGGTAGCCTCCTGTTTATAAGTATGGCGCATTTCATACTCTTAAACAAGACTCTACTAACACGGCTTCATAGACCCCTAGGACTCTATAAACCCGAGGCTCTGATACCAAGTTTGTCACAACCCATTTTCTGAACAAGCCGAGACCGACACTCGATCACTAAACATGACCGAGCGAACCATCTCTGCTTATCAAATCTATTATAACTCCAAACTTTATATGCAACAAGGCAATACTCTAACCTAATACTTTTGATTAATTTAAATATTTAAATAAATCAACTCTAAAACTTTATTCGTAGTAACTACTGAATTACTGCTAAGTTATTATCAAAAACATCTAAATCTTAACCCAACGACTATGTCTATGAAGCCTCTACTGATAAACTGACGCACTGCTCAGGACATGAGATTTCTTGGATAGTTCTCTAAGTAAACAAAGAAATAACTAAATAAAGATGACTCTAAGGAATACTCCAAGAACAAAAGTGGAGCTCACCAATAGCACTGGAGGAGAAGGAAGTCCTAACCAGTAGCCTGCTCGCCTGCAAAACCGGTTCCTATATTGTACCGCAGACCAACATAGGTTCCCAAAAGAGAACGTCAGTACCATCTATTGTACTCAGTGAGTCTCAAAAACATGGGAGAAACTTTAATAATATATACATTACGAGCAAAGGTTCTTAATGCATGTAAAACATAAAGCTTATAAGAATAATTCTAAATAATTGCATAATAGCAGTTTATGAATATTCTAAAAGAAATTTTTTTCTTTTTCTTTCTTATAAAAAAATACTTCACTTTATACTTTGGGAGTTCCAACTATCCCGACTTAATTTTGTCTCAGTCATTGTGTGATCGGCACGGGTTCGATCCCAACCTGATCGAATAGGACCAATCCATGAGGTGTCACTCACTTCATGGTTCTCAGCGCTCATGTATCATACCTTAGCGTGGCTAAGTAAATTCTCAGCAACAAGACCATCGGCTCGTGTGCTCCCTACTTTGGCACAAGTAGTTTCAGGAAGTCAACGCCTTTGTCAGGACCCTAGGCCTGGACGATGACCCCTTCTCAGAATAAAGGATACTCCCAAAAACCTTTTCTTTCTAAAACTTCTTCTTGTGACTTTTCAAGTTTAAATCTTTTATACATACTCATACTAGTATCCTTAAATGTAAGGCATGGCATAAGAATGAAAAAAACATTCAAAAGTATTTATAAAGATTCTTGATTCTTTATGAATTTTCAACATGAAAATGGCATATAAGAATAATACAAAAATCTGAAATTTATGCACATATATCAAAATAATCATTTAAACTTTAGCTAGAAAATAATCCTAAGCTAATAGGTACTTACTACTCCAATTAAGTATATATTAACTCTTTTATGCAATTCATCAAACACCTTGTATATGTGCTTTTGTGAGTTAAACCACTTTAGTAAAGGGTTATATCAAGTCACCTCAAAACTCCTTGAGCTAATACGTGGGCCCCATTCTAATTTATACCCGTCAAACAATTGATTCTATAACAACCAGTGCATTTTAATTAATTTCAAAGTTTCACACCTAAACATGAAATTTAATGTTGATACAAAGGAAGAAGGGAATTAACTATTCAATTCTTACCTACTACTACTTTAGGATAATTGACAATAGGAAATTTTATATACCTGGGTTCAAGAATTAGTGCTTTGTAAAGAACCCTAGGATTTTCGTTGTCTGCGTAAATCGTCTTGCTGCCTCTGTTTCTCGTTATGTTCCTCTAATTTTTTGTATGAGGCTTGCATGAGTTTAAGCTTTTGTTTTGTTCCTATAAGACTTTTCAGCCTTCAGACTTGTGTTTTGATTAAGTCTTTCAATCCTTTTTCCCTAAAGAATACGTCTCCAACCATTTTATGGGGCCCCCTCTTTTTTTTCCTTTTTCTCTTTTTTTTTTGTTTTATTGCTTTTCCCTTTTTGTTTTGTTTTAACTTAACTAATATTTAATGATACCCACTTGTAATAATTAATAATATTAAAATTATTAATATTCCCATAATTATATATCCAACTATTTATAAATAGGGAAGTAACTCAAAATCAATCACAAGGATTTAAATTCGTACTAGCAGTATAATATAAGGAAAAAAATATTAATTCTATATTTAGCGAGTGTTACACGTTTGCTCAAATCACCAAATTAACACCTTTAACAACGAATTTAGCATCAAAATCAAAGAAAAATCTCATGAATTCTTAAGTTCCATTTTTAACAACCGAGGGTCCGATTCGCGTCATATCAAGTCTGTTTCTTACCAAATTTTACAGGTTCAACCTAAATATCATATAAGACCTCCGAGCTCTGGAACCAAGATATGGGCCCGATACCATGTCACGACTCGGACTTCCCACCCTCAGGAGTCGTGATGGCGCCTACTAGTGAAAGCTAGGTATTCCATAACAGATCTACCCAAGACTGAGTGACAGTCATAGAACCCTGCTGGAGACTCTCGAACTGCCTCCGGTAGATCTCTCCCGGAGTGATAGGGAGAAACTTCTCCAGAAATAGCTGAGTAAACTGCTCCCAAGTCAAAGCTGGCGATCCGACTGGTCTAGCTAAGCAATAATCTCTCCACCAAGTCATGGTGGATCCAGATAACCGAAAAGTAGCAAATTCGACCCCATTGGTCTCCACTATCCCCATGTTCCTGAGAACCTCATGACAGTTGTCCAAATAATCGTAGGGATCCTCAGAAGATGCGTCGCTGAAAGTGGTAGTGAAGAGCTTGGTAAAACATGTCCAACCTCCACAAAGCCTCCGAAGACGTAGCTGATCTATTACCGGTCAGTGTTGTTGTTCGGCTGAAGAAGCGGTAAGTGACCTCACCATCCGTGAAAGAACAAGAGAAGAGGGTTCAATTTAGCTTTGAGAGAATAAAATCGCACGACAGGAAGGAATAGATGTGAAGTTTTTCCTAACTCTGTAGCCTCTGGGGATAAATACAGACGTCTCTGTACCGATCCCTCAGACTCTACTAAGCTTGTCTGTGAATTGTGAGACCTATATAACCTAGAGATCTGATACCAACTTGCCACGACCCGGACTTTTCACCCTCAGGAGTCGTGATGGCGCCTACTAGTGAAAGCTAAGCAAGCCAACCAATTGAATTATTTACCTTGTTTCCATTCTAAATCCATTAACAATTAAGAACCAACAGTTATCAATCAACAAAATTTACCAAGCAGAAGATTAAATTTCAAGTTTAATAATACTGCAAATACCATTCCATAACAAATCTACCCAATACTGGTGTCACAACTTCACAGACTGTCTAGGAGTATTACAAATAAAGGTCTGAAAGAAATAAATACAACACTATCTCTGGAAATAGGTGAAAGAAACAGGAATAGTAGATAGAAG